GAGAAAAGATATGGGGACTTGTGGCCTCACTGAAGGTATGACCCTTAATAGAGGAGAATGATAAACCAGGATTCATATAGCCGACCCCAACTAGTTAGGAAAAGGCTTCAACGATGATGATGATAACTAAACTAGTCTAAGTTGATTGTGGCTCACTAGGCTTTGTGTGGTCCTTAGGATCCAGAATCGGAATTTTTAGGAATTTCTTTAACGAAAGGTGTCTACAGGAAGACTTGGCTATCTCTTTTGTATGTCAATTCTTATACTAGCTTTCTTGTCTTGACCAATCCTAAGTTAGAAGTGAGGATGATGCAGTGTAGGGTACTAACATATGCACAAATGTAAGCTAGTGATAGACCTTTAGTGCAAGAGCTTAGGGAAGTGGTGCAGGTGGATGGTTAGGTTGGTGGGACTTGGTGAACCACCTGAACCAGCAAGCTAAGGCTTGGATTGTCGAATCATACGTAGCATAGCCTAGCAGGACATAGACATGAGCTGTGTGCAAGAGGCGTGGTTGACCATACACCTATGTTGCAAAGTGTGTTGAGTAATATTGGTCAAGTGTGGGATTTAAATTTAAACAGTGTTACTACCCCAAACATGGACTTGTGTAACAACCTCAGGCATGTATGAAGGTGATTGTTTAAGGGGTCAACATGTATAACTATTTTGTAACAACCATGAGAGGTTTTTTGTTTTTTTGGCATGTATGGGAAGTAATGACTTGCTAAGTAGGTTGCTAAACTAGCACCCCCTATTAATGAGCCATGTTGGGTAGGTTATTAATGATGGGGCATGGTACTACCATACCAAGAGGTTGGCAGTAGTGTTTTACATGCCTTGTGGGCGTATGCTTAAAGCTATGTAAACCCCTAGTTGGAACCCTTGAGGGGCATCTATAGTTGTACAAGAGCAAGTGTATAGAGCTAGTAAAGGTCGATCGAGGCCCTTGTCTATGCTTTGTATGTGTCTTGTGTGCTTGTTTCACTTCATAGTCTAGATTCAATTTTGGCTTAGGATTCATTATAGTGGAAATTAGCCCCATGGTAGTCATACTACATGTAGTGTAAATCGCTTGGTGTCTTTATAGTACATGTACATAATTACTCATTTCTTGTTATTAATGTCAGATGGTGGAAACCATTTATTTGCCATTTTCTCAATCAGAATTCTTGGAGTCTACATATACTAATTTATCATACGATGAAAAATCACCCAAAAAAAAATACAAAAGTGGGGATACATTTATGAATTACCTAAACAAAACTCATTTTTCTTCAATTTCATATCCGAACGAGGGAAAATACTATGTGGGTAGTGAGTTTAATCCATAGAGGAAATACTTAAGTCATTTAATCCATGGAATGTATGGATATGGAAAAAAAAAAGATGTCAAGTTTATTTTTATGATTTTCACCTGTTTATTGATAAATTCCATCCACACCATTTTTGGAGGGTTAAAGTTTCATAATTAGGGGTGGCAACATAGTTTTAGGTCATTGCAAGAGTTTCCATCATCTAAACTGCATCTTCTGACAGAACTTGGAAGTGTCTTACTTTCATTATTTAAGGTGAGCGCGTTAGTAAACCACACCCAAAGACAGAAAAACCGGAAGCACCACTGACATAAGCATGGCAAAACACTCGGCTCATAATTTATACCTACCAATAATAAAAAAGGGAGGGAGGGGGGGGAGGGGAGGGATGATCTCTCTGGCTTATCTATTATTGGGATAGACCCTGATAACGAGATTGAGATGGAGGGTGCAACTATTAATCATTTTAAAAAGGCCTTAAGCATTGAGATGGAGGGTGCAACTATTAATCATTTTAAAAAGGCCTTTGCTTAAGAGGTTAAACTCACTCCTTCTCTAAGTAGAGTCCCCTTCAAAGTCTTGTCGGTGGAAATGAAGAATTTGTTGGAAAGAGAGGTGTCTTGTGAGGAGTTGCATAAGCCAGTCTTTGCATTGCCAAGGGATAAAGCACCAGGACTTGATGGTTTCCCTCTAAGTTTTTTTCAGAGGTATTGGCAGCTGATGAAGGGTGAATTGTTGGAGCTTGTAAGGAGTTTTATTATGAGGGGCATATCTTTAGAGGGGTAAGCTCAACTTTTCTGGCTTTGATCCCTAAGAAGTCTATAATCTCTGACCTTTCTGATGTTGGACCGATTAGCTTGCTGACTAGCCTCTATAAAATTATTGTTAAAGTACTAGCAGAAAAGATTGAAGGAGGTCCTAACTTTTCTCATTTTTAGTACTCAATCAGCATTTATCCAAGATCGTCAAATCACAGATAGTGTGGTTGTTGCCCAAGAATGTGTCCATTCTAGGGTTCTGAGCAAGAGACGGGGAATTCTGCTAAAGTTGGATATGAAGAAAGCGTATGATTGGGTTGAATGGGGAATCCTTCTGAAAATATTGAAAGCTATGGGGTTTGGCGAAAAGTGGAGAAGTTGAATGTTTGGGTGCCTCTCTTCTGCGCACTTCTCTGTGCTTTTTAAAGGGAGTGCCATTGGATTCTTCAGTGCTTCTAGAGGATTACGCCAAGGTGATCCCCTTTCACCTTTCTTATTCATGATTTATGCTGAATGTTTCAGTTTGATGCTTAATAGAGTGGATGGGTTGGGTTATTTTGCAGGTTTTAAGATTTCTAATTCTGACTTGGTTATTTCTCATCTACAATATGCTAATGACACCCTAATTTTTTGTGATGCTGAGCCATGCCAAGTGTATACTCTTACCAGATTCTTGGAGATTTGTGAAGTTACGCTTGGCTTAAAAGTTAATTTTCACAAATCTTCCATGGTTGGAATAAACTATGATGAGGACCTGATGGTGGATTTGGCTAATATTTTGGGTTGCAAGGTGGTTTCGTTCCCTATCTCATATCTTGGTCTTCCTATCTCAGACTCTAGACTTTCCATTGCGGTATGGGATATGATACTTGAAAGAATCCAATTCAAATTGGACCTTTGAAAGCACAAGTGTCTTTCTCTGGGTGTGAGGGTGACTCTGTTGAAGTCTTGTTTGTCTAATCTTCCGGTGTACCAGATGTCTTTGATTAACATGCCTGCATCGGTAGCGAAGAAAATTAAAAAAATGATGCGGGATTTTTTGTGGGGCTCCAGTACAGAAGAGATGAAATTTCATTTACTTAGGTGGGATAGAGTTTACACTCCTAAACGAGAAGGTGGTATGGGTATAAGGAATGTTAGAATGGTTAATCAAGCGTTGTTGTGTAAATGGTGGTGGTGCAACTTTCATTTGAAGGAACAACTTTGGTTCAAAGTTCTTTTGGCAAAGTATGGGATGGATAGATTCGAGGTTTGGCTTGGGGGTGGAAGAGGCAGCACTGTTTTGCATATGTGGAGGGCTATTCACTCCTGCAATCCTATGATTTTGGGCTATTTCAGATGGAATATAAGTTGTGGTGAGCAGGTGTCTTTTTGGCGTCATAAATGGATTGGAGAGTACCCTTTGAAATCGATTTTTCCTGATTTATTTGAGATTACTACACGACCTTATTTGACGGTTTGTGAGGCTGTGTAGAGAAGGGATAATCAATTGTCTTAGGATATTTGTTTGCCTTACAATGGCCTGAATAATGTATTACTCTGGCAATGGTGCTCATTGATGGAGTTACTTGACTTGATCTACATCTCGTCTAACACTGTGGATGATTGGATTTGGGAGATTGAAATTGATGGGGTGTTCACTGTTAAGTCCTGTTATAATCTCTTCTTTCATGACCGTTGGAGATGGTCTAGCCCTCATATTGCCAAGGTGTGGAAGTGGCCCATTCCCCACAAGGTTCAGATCTTTGTTTGGTTGGCGGCCCTGAACAAGGTTTTGACCATTGATAATTTGATCAAAAGGGGAAAAGTTCTGTCGAATGTCTATCTCATGTGTAAAGCTGATGGGGAATCAGGAGCATACATTTTCATTCACTGTCCTTATTCTGCACATATCTGGTGGTGGCTCTTTGGTGTTCTTGGTATTAATATCATGCTGCCTCATTCTGTGGAAGGGCTTGTCTCTCAGTTTGATATTACTCATTTACCTAAAATTGGGAATGTTATTTGGAAAATCTCAAAATGTGTCATTCCGTGGGAGGTTTGGAAAGAAAGGAACAGGAGAACCTTTGAGGGGACCTCTTTGCCACTGGAGAGGCTAATCCATGTCATCAAGCTTTCTATTTGGTCATGGTTGTCTGTGACGAAAGAAGGATGGGTATTTCCAAGGTTGATGTCATGACCAACCTTAGTAATCTATTCCTTCTTGGTCGTGTCAGTTGTAGACCGAGATGTGTGTTGTTGGGGCCGCCAGCTGGGAGTTATAAGCTGAATTTGATGGTAGTTCTCTTGGTAATCCTGGTTTATCTGGGATTGGTGGGGTACTACGTGACAGTTTGGATAACATCATCTTCTCTTATGTTGGCCTTATAAGTATTAAGATGGCCAACTTTGTTGAACTGAGTGCTTTATTGAGAGGGGTGACAATCTTCATTGATAGAAATATCGGTAATAGTGTTTCGATTGAAGGGGATCCCCTCGGAGCTACGCCATTTATGGTTACAAGTGATGGATTTAGTGGATTCTTTAATAGTTTCCTTCTCCCATGTTTACTGTGAAGCGAACTTTGTGGTAGATGCTTTGGCTAAGGGTGGTGCTATCTTGCATTCTCTTGTTATTTATGATGATGTAATCTCCTTTCCTTAACCATTAATAATATTCGATAACATTTATCAAAAAACAAAAAAAATTGATAAAAAGGGTGAGGTGAACAATCTCTAAAAAAGAATAAAAAAATAGTCCCACACCATACAATCCCTAAACTTTTCCTTGTAAAAAAGGAAAAGAAATTAAACTAACACCAACTTCCATGAAAAAAACACTAAATTTCACTACAAGTCCACTCATGCAAAACATTGTGGGTGAACAACCCAAGCAAGCTTCACCCCCACCCTCCCCCTCCCCCTCCCCCTCCCCCTCCCGCCTGCTCTTATTATTCCAGAAAAGAAATACACCTCTTCGGTCTTTTCTCTTTTAGTTGGTCAGTAGTTGAATTTTTAATGACTTGGCCCCAATTCTCCTCCTGGGTTTCATCGACCGTTCCGGTGTTTCCAATGCATGGTAGCAGCAACAATAAACAGTTTGAGACCCTTTTCTGTTTCTCTACCTGCGCCACTATTCTTCAACTTTCGACGGCAACTCTGGGAGGTTGTCTTGAGAGCCATGGCGGCCCAATCTCTGCAACAAGTCGTCGCACTCAAGCCTTGCGGTTTCTCTGCCAAACCCACCACTTCAACCCCTCCATCTCTGCTCGCCATTGGAGCTCCTCAGAGCTCCGGCTGCTTGCGAGGCCGAGTCCTAAGAGCTCAGTCTATTCCCGGCCTTGCTGCAAAGCCCTACTCCTCTGTTTCAGGTGCTCTCTCTCGCCCCCCCCTTTCCAGAAACAGATGATTGTCCTCTAGGTTTTGTTGATGGGTCCCCTCTATTTTTGTGTGATTTCACTTTTCTGGTGTTTGCTTGATGATGCCTAAATTTTTTTCCTTTTTTCATTTTTTATTTTTTTCTGACGGTTCATGCAAATGCTTCATATGGGAGTGTTCCATGAAGTCGCTCATTCATTTTATTTTATTTTTTTTATTTTGTTTTGAGATTTTTATGCGTACGAATCCTTGCTTAGTGGTAGTATGGTCCTTGGATCAATTTAATTCTGAAACATGGGGAATCTTGGCCCACTTCATTTTCATTTTTCACACTATTTTCCTATGAGGATTTTGAAGTTAATAATGAGGGCAGCTCGTTCATGATATTAGTTTCAAATCTTCATTCTGTCCTTCTTAATTGTTTGAGCCCCCCCAAATGAAATTCTAGTGCTTTTACATTCTGCATTTGCTCACGGTACATGGCATCCTTGATATTCTGTTCTTTTTTTCTGTGATTATCATAAGAGAATAGAGTTACATCTCGGTTACTTATGCTCATTCTAGTAATTGATAGGCTGGATGTTCTAGTATGACATTGACCAATACCCACAGTGAGATGCTTGCTCTCGATATTTGTATGAAACATGAGATTTCTCGTGGAGGCCAAAGATTAAATATTGTGTCTGGGTTCTTTGGAATTTTTTTTCCCTCGAACAACTTGTTGAATCATTTATAAAGTCCGGTATTTGATCATTTCAAGATCCTAAAGATAGGGATCCAAGGAATTCTATGCTTGCCATGATTTTGTGGTGCTCTCATGACTCGTGAGAAGCATTAAGTAAGGTGACTATCCAACAGAAAAGAGGAATTCTGTCTTGCATTGTGTTCTTTTGTTGCCATTTTTCACTCTGATAAAGCTAATTTTGGAGGTAGGCTTTACCTGCTTTTGTACTGCGTGCTTTTGTTTTTCTAGATCATTAATTTGATGTTCCCTAAAGTAGCTTGCACATGCACTGTTGCACTTGGTCTCTGTATGGTAAGCTTTATCATTTTCTCCCAAAAAATGCCTCTTTTTTTGGTTTGTCTTTGTTTATCCATGTGATGAATATGTTATTCTATAATGAAAATAAGCATTTTGTCATTCATCAACTTCTGATGCTTCCACATCATTTAGTGTTGTGAAATTTTTATGAAAACTCCATATGGTACATTATAGCCCATGAGAAAAAGATAAAATGAATTTGTTATTATGAAAACCTGTATGTCCAGTAATATTATATGAACTCAATGCTCAAACTCTACTTGCACTGCTTCTAAGTTGAGTTTAGATACATGAATTGACCATTAATCAATCAAGAGATATCTAGCTGCATTTGTAATGTTAGATGATAATAAATGGTCAATACTCACCAACTGATTCCTGCTTATTAAGTTACTTTTGAAGGAATCTCCACGGAATTTGGAGGAGATGAAGTGGCTTAAGTATATATCAAGATTTAGGCTTTGATAAGTAGCTAGAATCGTAGACTAGACTTGTAATTCACTACTGAACTCCTATGTAGGCACCACCACTTGTTCAGTCTAAAAATTAGAGACATGCATTTTTTTCTTTAGTTCATTTCTTTGGTTTGGTGGTCATACCATGCATGTATATACGTATACAAATGTTTTAATGCATGTGCATGGTTGTGTCTTGCACATGTGCACAGATCTGCCTTATGTGTGCGTGCATGGGGGCGTGCATACGATATGCACGAGTATGTGCATGCTTGATATGTGTTCCTGGAGCTTGTGTTCATGCAGGTGCAGTCATTCTTCTGTGGGTTGTCTACCTAAACCAAACTACTTTAGGGTTTAATTTGCTTTATGATTTGTTGCATATGTAATTTTTAGTAAGTTACCGATTTGCTCTGCATCTTAGGGATGACTTTTGTGGCCCTATAACACGTGTTTGTTGGCTTCAAATCATTAACTATAACTTCTATTTGGATATGATATCCACCTTTTGTGTTGTAAATGAGTGGATTCTAATGATGACAGCAATTCCTGCAGGTATAAGAGCTCAGGTCACAACTGCCGAGCAAGCGGCAGTTGAAGTACCTCAAAGTGTTGAAGCGCCTGTTGCTGTTATTACTGGAGCTTCTAGAGGCATTGGAAAAGCTATTGCTTTGGCCCTTGGCAAAGCTGGCTGTAAGGTGGGTTGCCTCTTTCATCATTTAAATTATTTTGCTATGCATTCTACAGTTGTAAAGAGGGTGCATTTGATATAGTTATCAAGTATATGATCTTTGTAATTATAACTCTGAAAGACTTTTCTTTTCATTATATGAGGTGGGTAATACTGGCCTGGTGACAGTGTCATTATGACTGAATTGATCAAATAGAAGAGCATTATGCCATAACAGCTAAGTAGATGTTTACACCAATGGATTCATCAAAAAAAAAGGAAAAAGGAAAAAAACAATTACAATTAGATGAGGAACTCATTAAAGGAAAAAGACTCCCTAGTTTTATTTGAGGACCGGAATTCTTGTACATCAATGTCCTAGTTTTATTAGTTGAATGTCTGTCATCCACATTACTCTGCCAATATCAGCTATCATGTCTTGATGGCTGTAGTAGAGTTTAAGATTATCCGAAATGTTCTTGACTGAGAGAAGACCAAATACATTGAAAATCAGAATAACCAACAGCCTGTTGAGGCTTTGAAAAAGTGCCCATCATTTAGCATACTGCATGAACAACATATGACTAGTGATAATGACCTGCAGTATTGTGTACCTTCTGAACTGTGTGAAACATGAGCAGAGTAGTTTGTGTTTTGCTCAAATGATGCGACATCTAGCTGCTTTCAGGAAGTGTGTTGTATAGAAATCTAGCATCCTTATGTGTAGATATGTCTCATTTAGAGGTTAGAATGTTATATCTGTTGTAAACTAGGAAAGGAGAAGTCAAAGACAGCCAAGATCCTTCACTAGAAAAGGACTGAAGACAACTTACTGCTTGTCTTCTAATGAAATAGCTTGAATGTCATCTTGACAAACCAATGTACCGTCAACATGCATTGGTGACTACTATGTTATAATGAAGAGACAAATCAAGAGTTATACCAACACAGCTCTTCCCAAGATATACCCTGGTCGTGACTTGTTTAACTTTTTATTTTTTTTGAAATGCATGGTGTTCTTTAAGACTGTGAATCATGGAAGTAGCTAATACTACATTCCTAGTTGGGACCAGGATACGTTAGTCCATGAACATCCCTCAATCAAAGCAATCTTCATGCCGATATGATGTAATGACCAGCTCCAAATGGCAGCACATACAATAATGGTGTTCCTACTGTTATTTTTTAAATGCAAGTTTTCCAATATAACCTGTACTTGCTCCTCAAAAAAAAAAAAGGAAAAAAAAAGAAAAGAAACCCATACTCCTGTAAGTAGGCCTTGGCAACAATATGGCTTGTAGCTATCTACCATTTGATCAACTTGGATTTTTAATTGTACAATCTCTAGTACCATCTTGTGCATTTCATTTGATATACGAGCAATAGATAATCCTTTTTCAATTCATCGTCATCCAGGCCTTGTCCCAATTATTTGGGGTCGACAATCCTTTCTCAATTGTACGATACAAAAGATAAACATCAAGCTTGTTCTTCAATGCTTGTTACATGCAACCTGCCAAACATGCTTTAGTATGGAATGGTGGTTCAATGATTGCTACAGAGAATTGTTTATTGAAAAATAATTTGTCAAATGATACATCGAGTAGTTGGTATACTTTATTTTATTGTGATCGCATGTGTGGCTTATGCTAACTTAGAACAACTGATAATGTATGTGAATTCATTCAAAATGAAGGGATCTCTTGTGGATGTTTACTACTGACGACGAAATCCCTTTATAAGTTGGAAAACCATTTACTAGGCGGCTAGATATTATGCATTATGAAACCGTCAGCTACAAAATTAGCTTCCACCTGAATACCAATGTAATCATGCCTCCACTAGATAGGCCCCCACTCAAATATGTCATAGGTCGCAGAAATATCGAGCTTTAGGGTGACCTCACTCTCCATAATAAATACATAAATAAATGTTAAGCTTTAGGGCAACATTACCATCAATTGTTGCTTATGAGCTCGTGGTTAAGCTCATGGCAACATTGGTCCCCACTAATTGTGACATAATCCTAGTAAGAATAACATAGATCTTTTCTTCTAGATGTTATTTTAGTAAATATTATAAATGCTAATTGGATGAAATATATCAAAGGAACGTGAATCATTTGATATGTGTATGACATAATAAAAGAAGAGTCCACCGATTTGGGCAAGAATACAGAATTGAGATGTTTTGAATTGTGAGCATGACATCCTATTGATCAATTGCCTTTTGACAAAGGGCTTCTGAAGTCTCCATCTAGTCCATTCGAAGTATTTCTTCCTAGTTATGCAAGTCTGGGATTCCATCTTGGGATGAGGTTCTTATTAGCAAATCATTGCTTTATGCTGTACTGGAGTGACATCTTCGACATCAATTCAGGATGTGGCTTTTTTATCATCATCATCATCATCATCAAAGCCTTCTCCCAACTAATTGGGGTCAGCTACACAAATTCTGGTTTGCCACTCTGCTCTATCAAGGGTCTTACCCTCAGTGAGGCCACAAGTAGGGTTGGCAATGGACCCGAACCCGATCAGGTACCCGACGGGTACACTCGACCTGGCTTTAGGTATGGGTCAAAGAATTGGACTCAGAGGGTCGGGTCCAGGTCTAAATCTTGGACTTGAAAACTATTTCGGTTTGGGTCTGGGTCCGATCACGTCGGGTCAGTTCTGGGTCTGGGTCTGGGTCTGCGTCAGGGTCCGGGTCCGAGTCTGGGTCCTACATATATTTTCGAGTTCCAATGTATGAAACATATTTGAAAATATTTGTAAAAATATATATTTTATTTTTTGGGTCGGGTTCGGGTCCGAGTCCTACATTATATTTTCGGTTCCAGGTGCAGGTCCGATAACTTTGGACTTGGTCATGACCAGGTCCGGGTCCGATCCAACCCGACCCAACCTGTTTCCACCCCTAGCTACAAATCCCTATCTTTTCTCATTATTTTCAATCATGTCCTTTTGGGCTTACCCCTTATTCTTTTTGAGTCTGCTACTTGAACTAACTTGCACCTTGAACAAGTATTGTATTGGGTATGCACTGCACATGGTGCAAAGCTGGTCTCACAATTGTCCTATAGAACTTCCTCTTCGGCTTCATTTGTATATGCGGTGATCACATAAACGATTGCACATCTCCACTTCGTCTTCCCAGCTCTAATTCTATGTACGACATCTTCCTCAATATCTCCATTTTCTTGGATTATCAACCCAAAATATCAAAAGTATATTGTTTTTTGTATTTCTTGGTCTTCAATCTTAACTACTTTGTCTCTACTCCTATTATTATTAAACTTACATTCTATATACTCTATCTTATTCTAGAGCATCTCTCCAAAGTTCTAACTTTGTGTTTACACAGTTTCGGGTTTCATCGATCAAAACTATGTCATCCGTGAACAACATACACCACAATACCTTATCTTTTAGGTGTCCATAACTAAGACAACGAGGTATGGGCCCAATGTTGACCACTGATGTAGACCTATTATCACTGAAAACTCATTTGTCTCTCCACTAGTTGTTTGCACACTAGTTAGCGCCCTCTCTTACATAACTCGCACTAAGTTGATGTAGTGTCAAGAGACTCCTTTCTTTTCCAAAATCCACCAAATCAAATCTCAAGGTACTCTATCATAAGCTTTCTCCTAATCAATAAAGACCATGTAGATGTTTTTTTTCTTTGCCCTAAACTTCTCAATCAGTTGCCTAAGTAGGAAAATAACCTCAGTTGACCTTCTTAGCATAAAACAAATTTGTTTTTTGATACACTCGCTTCATGCCGTAGTCATTGCTCAATCACTTTCTCCCACCGCTTCATAGTGTGGCTCATAAATTTGATCCCTCAATAGTTCATACAATTATGTATGTTTTCTTTGTTTTTGTAAATAGGTACCGCAATACTTTTCCTCTATTCATCTAGCATTTTCTTTGTTCTCAATACCTTGTTGAATAGCTTAGTGAGTCAGTCAATGCCAATCTTCCCCATGCACTTCCAAACCTCTATCGAGATACCTTCTAGTCCTAAAGCCTTTCCTATTTTCATACTCTTCAAAGCTTCTTTGACTTCCAATATTCTAATCCTATGAATATATCTCTAACGTAGATTTAGGATTCATGGAATGTTTTGGCAAAGTTTTACGTTGGCTGCCTACTTAACCCAACCCACCTCCTTTACTAAGGCTTGGGATAGGTTAAGGGAAAGTTTAAGGTTTTGACCCTTCTAGACTAGGGATGTGGCTCTTTATTGGCAGTAATTTTTTATGTTTGTTTGTGGATCGATAGGTATTGGCAAGTATCTCATTTTTGTATTCCATTGCTCATGCAGTATATAATCTGCTAGTTTGTCTCTTTCCCTGGAGACCTCATCTCACAACTGTAAAGGTTTGGTTGTGTCTCTTAGGATTGGTGCTCTCCTATTAAATCTGCATCTTCACCTATCTTGAGAGTCAAGCTGCCTATTCTGTTAGTTTTTATTGTGAGTTTGTGATGCAAATCGCATACAAGATATTTATTTTTATTTTTTTATTTATTGTTGGGACTGAATTTAGGGATATTCATATAGGGGTTAAAAATGGATTTTTATTTTATTTAGGATTGGCTTGGATGGATTTCCTAGTTTGTAGGATTCCATGACCCTATTTTGGTAGGATTGTTACATAACTAGAAAGAGAATGATGAGAGAGGGCTGATTACGTGAGCGATAGACAAATTTCCTAGTAAAGAGGATCTATGAGAGAAAATAGGAAAATTTAGAAAGGGGTTGATTTGCTTGATCTAGAGAGATTTATGTGGGATAAGGGCTTTCTAAATCATGAGGGTAGCTTTATGAAAGAAGAGTGGATGGTTACATGAGGTAGATAGGAGGCCTAAAGCTTAGGAGATAAGAAAAAGGAGAAATAATAGATGGAGATATGGGTATGTGGTGGTTAACGTGAGAGAGAGAGAGAGAGAGAGATTTTGACATGGGGGAGAGAGAGAGAATCATTGGCCTTTTTATTTTAGTTTTTTTATGTTTGGCTTGTAT